TATTATTGGCTGCCAATGCCGTTGATCTGCCACCTGCTGACTCTTTTCTGATTGCCCGGGATTCCCTGACCAAGGGACACACATTTATATTCAACTAGCTGTCCCCTGCCACGCGTTGCTGTGGCCCAGTCTGTTGATCTGGAAAATATATCTGTGAATATATTTTACATAATATAATATACATATTATGTATATTATATTATATTTTATAATATAATATACAATAATATATAATATTATATAATTATAATTATATAATTATAAATATTATAATAATATAATATAATATACAAGCATGTAGACAATTTCAACAGAAAGGAGGAGACCATGAAAATGATCAAAATCTGGCTACCAGTATTAAAAAACTCTAAAATTACAACAGCAAAACAGCAGAGAGGAAAGAACCAGGCACATCGTAACAAAATACCGATCTGCTACCGGGCTGAATTCAAAGTGCTGGCGTTGGCCTTTAAAGCCCTAAACGGTTCTGGCCCAAGCTACCTATCCGACCGCATCTCTGCCTATGAACCCACCAGGACTTTGAGATCTTCCGGGGAGACCCTGCTCTCGATCCCGCCTGCTTCTCAAGCTCGGCTGGCGGGGACGAGAGATAGGGCCTTCTCGGTGGTGGCTCCTCGGCTGTGGAACGCCCTTCCTACGGACATTAGACTAGCACCATCTCTAATGGTATTCCGCAAAAAAGTGAAGACCTGGCTGTTTGAGCAGGCGTTCGAATAATTAGTGCAATGATTGGTTAATGAACACTGGAATGGAACAATGGATGACGAATCTGGAACATGTTTTTGATGACGAGACGACAGTGAATGGTTATTGTAGTAACTGTTTATTAATTGTGTAATGTGTTAGGTTGTTAACTGTTTCTATACTGTAGCACTGAATTTTTGCTGTTCGTATTTGTTGTGAACCGCTGTGAGTCACCTTTGGGCTGAGAACAGCGGTATATAAGTAAGGTAAATAAATAAATAAATAAATAAATAAAGTAATGACAAAGTGTTGGTTTCTAAAATATGTAATTTCTTTATGCTTGTGGGTAAACAGTATTTCTTGCTTGATTCAAACATGAATCAAGGAACATGAAAGGCACTGCAGACTACTTCAACCAGAGAAGTCAGCCATAGCAGAGCACCTGATGAACCAGCCTGGACACAGCATATTATTGGAGAACACAGAAATGCTGGACCACACCAACAACCACCATGTCAGACTACACAGAGAAGCCATTGAAATCCACAAGCATGTGGACAATTTCAACAGAAAGGAAGAGACCATGAAAATGAACAAAATCTGGCTACCAGTATTAAAAAACTCTAAAATTACAACAGCAAAACAGCAGAGAGGAAACAACCAGGCACATCTTAACACCTCTCAACAAAAGATTCCCCCAGGCTCAGCCAGGCCTTCAAATGCTAATGAAGGTGGTCAGTTGAAACATTCACACCTAGCTCCAGCAGAGAAGAGCTCTTTGCCCCACCCCAGTCATTCCACAGATATATAAACCCATATTCCTAATTCCAACAGACCTCACTACCTCTGAGGATGCTTGCCATAGATGCAGGCGAAACGTCAGGAGAAAATGCCTCTAGAACATGGCCATATAGCCAGAAAAAACCCACAAGAACCTAATAATGCCGTGATGCTTGTGGGTTAACAGTATTTCTTGCTGTTTCTTTGTCAGTGTTGATGTGGAGAGTGTCTGGTTTGCCCACCCTGGAACATGCAACATATCATTGTCCTTCTTTAGGGGTCCCTTTCAAATCTATGATACTATATCTGTGTGTGTGTGAATATCTATCTATCTATCTATCTATCTATCTATCTATCTATCTAGCTAGCTAGCTAGCTAGCTGTCTATTTATCTATCTATATCTATGGCTGGATAGCTATTTGTCAGGAGGGCTTTGATTACATTTTCTTGCCCTGATGAAGGGCATTGGATTAAATGGCATTAAGTATTTTCCGTTGGTCATGGGGGTTCAGTAGATGGCCTCAAAGCCAACCTTAAAAACTCTGGCATAGACACTGAGAACTGGGAAGCCCTGGCCCTTGACCACTCCAGATGGCGGTCAGCTGTGACCAGCAGTGCTGCAGTATTCGAGGAGGCACGAGTGGACGGTGAAAGAGAGAAATGTGCCAGGAGGAAGGCGCGTTAAGCCAACCCTGACCGGGACCACCTTCCACCTGGAAACCAATGCCTTCACTGTGGGAGAAGATGCGGGTCAAGAATAGGGCTCCACAGCCACCTACAACCCCACAAAAATAGTCATCAAGGAAGACCATCTTACTCGTCCAATGAGGGATCGCCTAAGTAAGTAAGCAAGCAAGTAAGGGGGTTCAGTGTGGGAAGTTTTCCCTGATTCTGTCGTTCGTGGGGTTCAGAACGCTCTTTGATTGTAGGTGAACTGTGAATCCCAGTAACTACAACTCCCAAATGTCACGGCCTATTTTCCCCAAACTCCATCTCTGTTTATATTTGGGCATATTGAGTATTCGTGCCAAGTTTGATCCAGATCCATCATTGTTTGAGTCCACACAGAGAGACTCGTTCCTCCATCCCAAGCAGTGCTCTCTAGATGTAAGTGAACTACAACTCCAAAACTCAAGATCAATGCCCACCAAACCCTTCTAGTGTTTTCTGTTGGTCATGGGAGTCCTGTGTGGCAGGTTTGGTTCAATTCCATCGTCAGTGGGGTTCAGAATGCTCTTTGATTGTAGGTGAACTATAAATCCCAGCAGCTACAACTCCCAAATGACAAAATCATATTTTTTTTTGAGTGATGGTCACTCCTTGTGTTGTGAGACGTTTTGTTGTTAAATTTGGTGTGATTTCGTTCATTGGTTCTTTTGTTTTAAGGAACTCATTATGCACAGAGCATTTATATATATATAGAAGATGTGCTTTATACTGAGGGCTTGCCTACTACCAGATACAAAACATTACAAGAATCCGTATGGTTCCCACAAATCTCAGCTCATTCTGTTATGAAGTTTCAAGTGGTTGAGGGATGGGAGAACTGTTGCTGTGCTCTGGCAGATCTTTCTGCCCTTCCCCATAGCAATAATTCTTTTTCCACCCACGCTCCCCTTGCGTCTGATTTCAACCCTGCCCGTACTGGTCAGCAACACATTCTGAATTCAACACAATCCCAAAGCATTGCGCAAATATGGTAAGCACTGCCTGGTTTTGCATAGAACTGCAGAATCACAATTCCCTCGTTGCATCCCAGCATCCTCTGCAAGGCCAAGGGAGAAGGGGGAAAGACGTGCAGCCATTTCTGCTGTTTGGCAGAAACATAGAGTCCTTGAGATACCAAAAGAAGGAGCAAATTCTCTGCATCCAGGCCACATATCTGGAGACTTCCATTCCTCCTCACGTCCACATCGTCCAGAAGTGCAGTAAGAGAAAGAAGCAGATCACACCTGTCAGATTGTACCTTAGGGAGTTGTACACAGTCCCATAGATCACAACCTGACAGATGTCGGAAGCCCTGCAGCTCTGGAAATGTGGAGGGGGGGGGGTGGTTTAGAGAATCATGGGGCTGAATTTAATGGTGATCGTGAGTCATATCTAAAATGTTTGGGTTTAGCAATTTTAAATAATCCAGAAGTTTTCTCCAGAGGCTGATAATAATAATAATAATAATAATAATAATAATATATTGTCGAAGGCTTTCATGGCCGGAATCACTGGGTTGTTGTAGGGTTTTTTCGGGCTATATGGCCATGGTCTAGAGGCATTCTCTCCTGACGTTTCGCCTGCATCTATGGCAAGCATCCTCAGAGGTAGTGAGGTCTGTTGGAACTAGGAAAAAAGGGGTTTATATATCTGTGGAATGACCAGGGTGAGACAAAGGACTCTTGTCTGCTGGAGCTAGGGTGTGAATGTTTCAACTGACCACCTTGATTAGCATATAATGGCCTGACAGTGCCTACAGCAAACTTTTGTTGAGAGGTGATTAGTTCTAGAGCAAGGGTCCTCAAACTAAGGCCCGGGGGCTGGATATGGCCCTCCAAGGTCATTTACCCGGCCCTCGCTCAGGGTCAACCAAACTCTGAAACTACTTGAAAGCACACGACAACAATCCTATGTCATCAGCCAAAAGCAGGCCCACACTTCCCATTGAAATACGAATACGTTTATATTTGTTAAAATCGTTCTTCATTTGAATTATTGTATTCAAGTTATTCAAGTGTAAGTGTTTTTGGTACTGCAAATAAGATATGTGCAGTGCGCATAGGAATTCATTCATGTTTTTTTCAAATTATAATCTGGCCCTCCAACAGTTTGAGGGACTGTGACCTGGCCCTCTGTTTAAAAAGTTTGAGGACCCCTGTTCTAGGCACGGTCAGGCCATTATATGCTAATCTAGGTGGTCAGTTGAAACATTCACACCTAGCTCCAGCAGAGAAGAATCCTTTGTCTCACATACATAGAACATTAGAACCAAACATAAGGACAAAGAGCAGGCTGCATGTACATAAAATGATGTAGAAACTCCGGGTGAGATAAAGGGGTAAAACTAATTGTAAGGAGGACTCATGGAGAGATGGGATAATAAACAAACCTACATACAAGGGGGGGGGGGGGGAGAAACTCCTGGGACAAGAATGCTGAGGGAGCAATAGCATGAAGTTGCCTGGCTACTCTCCAAAGGCGCAACAGCAGAGCCAGGTCTTGAGACTCTCTAAAAGTTTCTAAAGTAGGGGCTTTCCTAATCTCTCCGGGCAGTGAGTTCCAGAGTCGAGGGGCCACCAAGGAAAAGGCTCTCTCCCTTGTACCCACGAGGCGAGCCTGAGAGACTGGCAAGGGTGAGAGGAGAGCCTCACCCGAAGATCGAAGAGTTTGGGCTGGTTCATGGAGAGAGATATGGTCACGAAGGTAGGCGGCTCCCAAACCGTTTAGGGCTTTATAGGTAAGAACCTGAACCTTGAACCTCTGATTGTCATGAGATACTAGATTATAATAGAAAGCCTCCTCTCACCTCTGTGGTGTTGACTCGTCCCTCCAAGAAGAAGCATTTAGCCACATTGTGGGTGCAAGTGTGTCTGTATTTACACCAATGGCAAGGATAGTGGCTGCTGACACATGACAGGCACCTATGGGGTAAGGAACACAAGGGTAGTCAAGAAGAGGAAGACATCAACATGCATCCCTTTGCCTTCCGTAAATGCCACCCCAAGTCGTTCCTGGCTCTTTAGTCCCCGTTGCCATTGTTCTGCTGGAGGATATGGAATTCAAGGGAGGGGAAAGGGAGGGAGACATTGATTGAATCAGCTTCCAAAGTCCTGCCAAAGCCATCTGCTGGCTGCAGGAGACAAGCCCCGAGGGAGTGTTGACTGAAGCCCTTGCCACAAACCGACTTGACAGTGTAAGCCTGCATGCCCCAGAATGGCAGCCAGGGGAGGAGGGGGGAGGAGGAGATATTTTATGAATTAGATAGAAGACATTGTATGCTATTTTCCATTCTGGAAAAACAAAGCAATGAGGAGGAAAGCATAGCAAGTCCTGAGGGAGAAAGCCAAGGTAGCACAGCTGCACCACAGAGACACCTCCATAGTTTTGTTTCTAAAAGGAGAGATCAAAGTGTGTGTGTGGGGGGGGGGGGGTGAGGTCAGGTTTGCCCAGTCACTTCTACCCTCTGGCCTCAAAGAGGTCTCCTCCTCCTCCCAAATCCCTGGATGTAGGAACTGGGTAAAGGGAAAACATGCTTCCAGATGCTCAGCCATCCTTGATATTGGTACAGCTGTCTCTTCATTTAGACCCCCAGCATTCAAGACTGGTTTTAGGGCTAAAGTGAAAACCTTTTCCCCCTACGTTACAATAATTTGAACTGCAATGACTTTCCTGTTGCTGATGTTATTCCGTCCAGCACTAAGTACTCTGGTGGCACTATCTAAGTAACCATGAAAGCAAGCTTCTTGAGATTTACTAGGAACATAGGAAGACCAAATCTTAAAATCACATCATATGTATTTTGTTATTAAATTTATATTTCACTTTTCCACTACAAATTCAGTATGGAGCACAGTTCATTCCACATGCATCTCAAACAATCTATGAGATGTTTTGCTATTGATGTACTGCGGATTATTTGTCACTATGTTGTATTTTGCACCTGTTTTCCTATGTTGTACACCACAATGAGTCGCCATTAGGCTGAGAATTGCGGTATATAAGCGTAGTAAATAAATAAATAAAAATCTATCACATGTGAGGCAGGATAAGTTGAGAGAGATAAGAAGTGACCCAACTCACTGAGAGAAGTTCATAGCTGAATGCAGATTTGAATCCAGGTCTCCTGTACCCAGTCCATTATTCAAACACTACGTATCAGATTATCTGTGCCTTACTTGGCCCTCTGATCAATGCTCCCCATTTAGTTCCGTTTATTATAGGAATAATTTTAGCTCAAGCTGCAATGGATTACAGCTGAGCTGTGACTTGGGACAAACAGGTCTTAGACCCCACTGAGCTATGAAGCTCACTGAGTGACCTTGAACCACTCACATACACACACTCTCAATCTCTCGTAGGCTTGACCTAACACACAGTGTTATTGTGAAGGAAGGAAGTCAAGTATACCATCTTGATCTCCTTGGAAGAAATACAGGGCACAAATATAACCTGGTAGAAGCATTTTACTCAGGACATGGTGAAGGACATCAGCTGCTTTAAATAATAATAAATAATAATAAACATAATTTAATACCCCGCCACCATTTCCCCAATGGGGACTCGGGGTGGCTTACATAATATGCTCAACAGCATATTACAATAAAATAAAATAAAACCAAAACACAGTAGCAACACAATAAAATACATACAACATATTAGTACAAAAAAAGCTACAGCAAAATCATACACAATCAAATAACAATGAGCGGACCGCATGTTCGAGATAAAAAACTAAAATACTAAAGATACTAAAATCAGGATGAAACAGGGATGGAGCAGATTGTTTGTGGGGGAGAACCTCATAAAGGAACAGGGTCATAAATATGGACCTTCATACAGGTGGGGAAAATATACTATGGGGACAAAAACAGTTGAGGGGGAGCAACTGTGCATGATAATTTGGCTACTCTCCAAAAGCGCATCGGAAAAGCCAGGTTTTGAGATCCCTCTTGAAAGTTTCTAAGGGGGGGGGGGGGGGCTTACTAATCTAACCGGGCAACAAGTTCCAAAGTCGGGGGGGGGGGGGCACAGAGGAGAAGGCTCTCTCCCTTGTGCTTACAAGGTGAGCCTGTGATAATGACAAGGGCGAGAGGAGAGCCTCCCCCGAGGATCTAAGAGCTCAGGCCGGTTCATGGAGAGAGATCTGGTCACGAAGGTAGGCAGGTCCCAAACCGTTTAGGGCTTTGTAGGTGATAACCTGCACCTTGAATTGGGACCGGAAGACAAACAGCGGCCAGTGAAGCTCCTTAAACAGGGGAGTTGACCTTTCCCTATAATTCGCCTCAGTTATTAAACCAGGAAAGAGTCCGGGAACTAGAAATAGAATGTACCCACTCACACACACTTCCCAAACTCACGTGCGGAGAAGGCTGCAGTCATAAAAGACAAAGTTTGTGCTGGCAAATTCCACACCAGTCTCTTTGGAGAGAAGCTGAAGTTTGACTGTGCGAACATCACCTGAGATGATGGTAGAGGAACCAAGAGTGGAAAAAGAGAAGACAAAGTAATGTCAGTAAGCATACATTCAAAAATTTCTGTCCTATCTGAAGCAACTACAACTATCCCCTTCTTGTTTCATGCTCAGAATCAATAATGCAAGGTGAAGTCTTCTCTTGACATGAAAGACTGTGAACGTGTTAAAGACACTGGTCCTCACTTGCACCACCTTTTTAATATAGTGGTAACCCATTCTGACTGTAGGATCCAAAGAGCACAACACATAGATAGGAAGCATAATAATAATAATAATAATAATAATAATAATAATAATAATAATAATAATACTTTATACCCCGCCCCCATCTCCCCAAGGGACTCGGAGCGGCTTACATGAGGTCAAGCCCAACAACACATCAAGAACAACAAGCAATAATAAAAACAACAAGCAATAAACAAAAATAAACAATACAGCTAATATAGCTCACAGATAGACAACAACACACAAGAATTTAAAAACCTATGGCTGGGCCAGATGTAATAGTTAAAACTTTGAAAATAAATGCTGGACGAGTACCATTCAAATGGAAAAGAAATGTATGCCACAACCCTGACTCCCTCTTTCAAGAAAAATAATCATGAATAGATGGTGCTTCAGATGAGCCTTGGTTCCCAGGTGGTGCTGAATTATAATTCTGACCATCGCAGATCATTGGCCGTTCTGGCTGCAAATGTCAGGAACTGTAATCCGACAACACTGGGGACCCATAGTTGTGAAAGACTGTTCTAGAGCATTCAAAAGACTTGGAGGATAACATTGTGACCCATACAATAGTACTGTAAAGGAACTCAATGTGGTTATTCTCATGGTGCACCTAGCAAGATCAATGGCTGAGCTATCTGAAAGATAGTTGAAGTATTTCTGTGAAGGACTAAAATCAGAACTGGGACCACAGCTCAGGTTCCCCAGAGCTGCAGTGCCACACAGCCCCCCACGCTTCCATCCACTCACCGTACTCCCCTGGGGGCTCATCCCTCAATGTAGGAGAAAGGCATTGGATTCCTCCATCCACTTGGAGCTGCCCCTCACTCTCTCCAAGGCTCTCGAAGGAACAAGTCACACCAGCAGTCAGGTCTGGGACATTGTGGACAGTAAGATGGAGCTGGAAACAAAGCCAATGAGAGAGAAATCACGACAGGCTAGTATTTTTGAGAAAATACCCCAATGGGTGTATGGAAGGAAGAAAGATATATGCTTTCCATTTGTCCCTCCAAATCTTGGCTGGGTAGGGGCCAGCAAAAAAGCAGCTTGTGAAGAGTGTATGGCTCAACTTCTAAAACTTGTAATAAAAATGTTAAAGACCTTTCAAAACACCATTATCTCCTTATTTCAATGGAGGATTCAGAGTTGGCAGCTGAATTTTGGCAGTACAGTAATTGTTCAGAGGAAGGGGGTGTCTAAAGTTGGCCCTGTTTTATTGTTTACTTTTGTTCTTTAAAATATTTATATCCTATCATATATGCAAAGGTCTAAGGCTGTAACAGATCCAGACTCACAGAAATGTTCCATTCCATGCATATACACACAGCACCTTTCATAGGGTAGAAAAATGCCACATGCAGGAATTATGGAAATGAATAAAAACATGTTATCGTGGTCTTCATTCTGCAATTTTCACTGCTTTACAATGTTGATTTTATTGCTACGACTGCACAGAGTGTAGAAACTACATACGGTGCTTAAGTCCTGACCTCCTGCCTACTAGAAATCTTTGTTGTTGTTATGTGCTGTTGACTTTGACTAATGGTGACCCTATAAATGAGAGTCCTCCAAGATTCCCTGTCACCAATTGCCCTGCTCAGGTCTTGAAAACTCAGGGCCCTTCCACACAGCCCTATATCCCAGAATATCAAGGCAGAAAATCCCACAATATCTGCTTTGAACTGAGTTATCTGAGTCCACACTCAGATAATGTGGGATTTTCTGTCTTGATTTTCTGGGTTATAGGGCTGTGTGGAAGGGCACTCAGAGCCGTGGATTCCTTGACTGATTCAAGCCACATGTCAAGGTGTCTCCTCATTATTGGACTATTATTTATTATTTATTTATTTACTTCATTTATATATTGCTTTTCTTAGGCGGCTCAAAGTGGTTAACAACAACAGTTTCAATACACACATTGCAAAATCATTGGCACATTTAAAAGCAATAGCATAACAACAATTAAACATCAATATGACAATCAATTACGTCTCATCAATAGCATCAGAATCCAGCCTCATCATCCATTATTCCATGTTCCTATAATCAATTACACTGCCTAATCAAATGCCTGTTCAAACAGCCAGTTCTTCACTTTGCTCCGAAATGCCAGTAAGGAGGTGGCCGGTCTGATATCTGTAGGAAGGGCGTTCCACAGCCGAGGGGCCACCACTGAGAAGGCCCTATCTCTCGTCCCCACCAGGCGTGCTTGTGATGCCGGCGGGACCGAGAGAAGGGCCTCCCCAGACGATCTTAATGTCCTAACTGGTTCATAGGAGGAGATGCGTTCGGACAGGTAAGTCGGGTCAGAACCATTTAGGGTTTTATAGGCTAAAGCCAGCACTTAGATTTGTGCCTGGTAGCAAATTGGCAGCCAGTGGAGTTGGCGCAACAGAGGAGTTGTATGCTCCCTAAGTGCCGCTCCTGTTAGCATCTTGGCTGCCGCGCGTTGAACCATTTGAAGCTTCCAAGCAGTCTTCATAGGCAACCCCACGTAGAGAGTGTTGCAGTAGTCTATACGGGATGTAACCAGAGCGTGGACTACAGTGGCCAAGTCAGACTTCCCAAGGTTCGGGCGCAGCTGGTGCACAAGTTTTAACTGTGCAAATGCTCCCCTGGTCACCACTGAAACCTGACTACATTCTGATTTACCAAAATTATCACCTTTTCATGTTGTTTCATGATATGCCCAAAGTGTCACAACCTCACTTTATCATCTTCATTTCTAGCAATATGTGCTTCATCTATCTTTCAGTCGGCTACAGTATCTGTAGACCTCTCCTTCAGCATCACATTTTTTTCCTGTCAGCTTTTTTCACTGTCCAATAGAAATTTTATTCGACATATACTCTGGATTCTGAGATAGCCTCCAGGTGCTCTCCTAATCCCTTTTAAGCGTGCTTTGGTAACCATGAGGTTTGAAACATTCTTCACCCCCTACTCTGAACAAATTCTGCACAGAAAAACGTATAATAGGTTCGCCTTAGATTGTCTCGTCAGAAGTTATTTGAAGACATATAACAACAACAACACAACTCTTGCTTGCTTGCTCTGCTATAACAAAAATTGGGTTTTGTCAACCAAACCTGTTAGCATCTTGCGTAGAGTTTTAGCTGCTCTTAGGACAGATTCAGTGAACAAAAAAGAACCTAAAATGGCCCAATTTATCATCCACAATTCTGTTCGGGTTTTGGAAACTCGGGGCTGTGGTTTTCTGCATTGAGTCTATCCCCCTATAATGCAATCTTCCTCTTTTTCTCTCTTTACTAAGCATTATCATCTTTTCCAATGAGTAGTGTCTTCCAATAATACAGGCAAAGTAGGAGACTTTCAGTTTAGCCGTCTTAGATTCAAGGGAGACTTCAGACTTTATTTTCTCTCTATGTGCCTTCAAACTGCCATCGACTTATGGTGACCCCATAAACTTCATAGTTTTCTCATCCAAAGGATACTCAGGGTGCTCTGTCTAGTTCCAGCCCACAGCACCTGGAATTATTGGGTGCTTTCCACATCTAAGTACTAACCAAAGCTGGCCCTATTTTGCTTCCAGGATCCAGCACTTTTGGGTATTTAGGCATGTGGTCTGCTCTAAGATCCATTTATTTGTCCTTCTCTCAGTCAGGCAAATCTGCAAAACGTTTCTCCAGCACCATATTTCTAATGTCAGCTTCCTTCATCGTCCAGCTTTTACTTGGAAACTGGGTACTATGTTCTCAGACATCATATGGATAGATAAAACTGTGGGTAATAGTGAACCTTAGTGAAATGAAGAACTTCATGTCCAAGAATATCATAGATGGGAGCTGGAGGTCCTAGAAAATGCCTAGAAAGTAAATATTTTGTCGAACATAGGTAAATAGAACTGGAGTACTGGTCCCATAACTACAGAGGTCAGCTGCGCCCATACCTTGGGAAGTCAGACTTGGCCACGGTGGTCCACGCTCTCGTTACATCTAGGATAGACTACTGCAATGCACTCTACGTGGCATTGCCTTTGAAGACTGCTCGGAAGCTTCAAATAGTCCAACGAGAGGCAGCCAGGTTAATAACTGGGGTGGCATACAGGGAGCATACAACTCCCATGTTACGCCAGCTACTCTGGCTGCCAGTTTGCTACCGGGCACAATTCAAAGTGCTGGCTTTGGCCTATAAAGCCCTAAATGTCCCGTGCCCAAATTACCTGTCCGAATGCATCTCTACCTATGAACCATCGCGGAGATTAAGATCTCCGGGGAGGCCCTGCTTTCCGTCCCGCCATTGTCACAGGCACGATTGGTGGGGACGAGAGACAGGGCCTTCTTGGTGATTGCTCCCCAGCTATGGAACTCCCTTCCTGGTGAGATCAGGTCGGTCCCCTCTCTCCTGTCCTTTAGAAGGATGGTAAAAACTTGGCTGTGGGACCAAGCTTTCAGGATAGGGCAATAAATATAGGAAAGATGACCAGGCCAATTGAGTTGACGCGGATGACTAGGACGGTTTTAAATGGTGTATTTTAATATTTTGATAAATGTTTTTTAATGTTTATGTATTGTATGTGAATTTGTGCCCCGGCATTGAATGTTCGCTGTGTATATCCTGTGAGTCCCCTTAAGAGTGAGAAGGGTGGAATATAAATGTTTTAAGTAAATAAATAAATAATATCAGCTTCCTTCATTGTCCAGCTTTTATTTGGAAACTGGGTACTATGTTCTCAGACATCATATGAATATATAAAACTGTGGATAATAGTGGGAAGATGTGAACACAACGATGGACAGGGTATAGGGATTTTTTCTTTGAAGATCCCCACCGCTATCACCAATTGCGAGGAGGTGCTTGTGTGTTGCTGAGGTTGTCAACGGCAGACCCTAATAATGGAGGTATTTTACCTCAGGCACTTTTTAATCTCACCGCTGCCACCAATTGTACAGATGTGGATGTTATGGAGGGAATTTACTTCAGGCCTCAATTGTGTAGAAGAGTATATTATGGAGGAGGCCAATTATTATTTGTAAATGAAGGTAACTGCCACCAATGTGAGGTATTTGAGGTACCACTGATGAGATCTGGCTCTACAGACGCAGATTAGTTGAGATGAGACAGTTTTCAACAAAAGAAAACAAGTTTATTGTGTACAAAGCTTATGGTTGCAGGCTGTTAAATAACTTATGGAATTTTGAATATCACGTGGTTTATAATACAGTCTACTCTTCCAGATAACACAGTTTGTGGCTAACTTCCACTGAGGTGAAGCTCTCTAGTGAACAATGTTTTACTACTATAAATAGCCTTTCAATTTGATCTTCCCTCGATCAAATCTCTGATCTCTAGTCCTTCCTTAACTAGGGATCTTAACTAGGCTTCCTTTAGTCTTCTTTGACTAAAGAATCTGGCCAGGTTTCTTTCTTCAGCCCTCCTGGACTGAAAGAACACCAGCCATTCACACACAAGCCTCTCTCTCTGGCCTTTCCAAGCCTCTCTCTCCTCCTTTTCTAAAACACACATAACTTTTCCTGCTTGGCTCCGCCCACTTCTCCCTCTCATGAGCTAGCCAGCCTCGTCTCCTTGGCAACGCTCACTGTGGATTCAAACCAGATGACTCCAGTTTTAGCTACTGTTACAAACACAAACACATACTCTAACAGTTAAACACAAACATAATAACAATGACTTGTTTGTGAACCTTAGTGAAATGAAGAACTTCATGTCCAAGAATATCATAGATGTAAGCTGGAGGTTCTAGAAAATGCCTAGAAAGTAAATATTTTGTCAAACATAGGTAAACAGAACTGCAGTACTGGTCCCATGAATACAGAGGCCATACTGTATTATAGCATGGATGATCGTCACTTTAGTATTCAGTGACAAATCTTGACATTTTACCATTTTGTTTAAATAGGGCTAACTGACAGCACCGAGAAATCCAGGAAGGAGTGGAATCTGGGACTCACCACAATGCTAGGCTCCGTCACTGATATGTTATTTGGTTCAATAAGCAGCTGCACACATTGCGTCAAAGTCGATGTGAACCGGTGAGGCTCAGCAGCTCGGGGACACTCGCTCTCCCTACAACACCTGTGGCAGAGAAACAAAGAGAATTTGGAAGAGAGACAAAAGCTCATCAAGCCCCGCTTTCCTGCCAATGGGACAGAAAGCCCCACTAGAAGAAGAGGGGACGGGAGAAAAGAACATGCGTCAGAGAGACAGCACTGGGGCGCGGGGAGCTCATGGCACTTGGCAACGATAGCGGGGCTGATGCTTCTCCTGATCGGGTGATAAAACAAAAGCATGTTGGGATGGGAAGCCTCTCATGGGAAAAGTTGGCAAAGCAGAGGTCAAGGCAGGCGATGGGGAAAGCAGAAGCGACAGCAGGACTGGCAACTCAGGCGTGTGAGAAATGTGTAAGTTGGGGGGGGGAGCAAAAGAGCAGAGGGGAGTGGAAGTCTTTTGGGGGGACTATAAATGCAGATCAGCTGCTCCCTCCTCTTTAGGGCCCTGGAGACTTATTAAGGGCTGGAACCAAGGATGCGTAGGGAGTTGGGAGATGGCAAGGTCTCTGCACTGAGAAAGAAAGAACACATACTCTCTCTCTTACACACACACACATATATCAGTGCAGATGAGGGGGTTGCCAGTCAAGAAAGGAGGAGTCAAATCAGACATGTCAATCTCAACCCTATGCACTATTCAGTGGCCTGAATAGTGTTGAGACCAAAAGACCCTGAGACCATTTTCTACCAGTGGTTCTCAACCTTCCTAATGCTGCAACCCCATAATACAGTCCCTCATGTTGTGGTGACCCCCAAACATAAAATTATTTTCCTTCCTACTTCGTAACTGTCATTTTGCTACTGTTATGAATCGTAATCTAAATATCTGATATGCGAACTGTATTTACATTCACTAGACCAAATTTGGCACGAACACCCAATACGCCCAAATTTGAATACTGCTGGGGTCGGGGAGGATTGATTTTGTCATTTGGGAGTTGTAGTTGCTGCTTTATAAGCTATTGTCCTCCCAATCCTGCTGTATGCCTGTGAGACATGGACAGTCTACAGATGTCGCATGCAACTCCTGGAATGATTCTATCAGCGCTGCCTCCGGAAAATCCTGCAAATCTCTTGGGAAGAGAAGCGGACAAATGTCAGCATGCTGGAAGAAGCAAAGACCACCAGCACTGAAGCGATGCTCCTCCGCCATCAACTCCTCTGGACTGGTCACGTTGTCCGGATGCCAGCCCTCCACAGGCATGTAGCGGGGGGGGGGGGGGGGGCTTGAGGGGCTTCACCCCCCCCCCCAAATTCTCATGGTGGTCCGCGAGAAGGCCTTACTGGTACATTATTTAAACTGTTATGTTTATTCATATCATGATCTGATCACCATGCTCAATATGTCCCATATGCATGGGGGTATTGGGGTAACGATACAAAAGGTTTGCTAGGGTAGACCCTCTTTCACTCAGACTCAGCCCCCCCCCCCACACACACACACACACAAATCAAACTCAGCTCCCGCCGAATTACAATCCTGGCTACGGGCCTGCCCAAAGCAGTTGCTCTACTCTGAACTCAAGAACGGAAAATGGAATGTTGGAGAGCAGGAAAAGAGATTTAAAGATGGGCTCAAAGCCAACCTTAAAAACTCTGGCATAGACAACGAGAACTGGGAAGCCCTGGCCCTTGAGCGCTCCAGTTGGAAGTCAGCTGTGACCAGCAGTGCTGCAGAATTTGAAGTGGCACGAATGGAGGGTGAAAGAGAGAAATGTACTAAGAGGAAGGCACGTCAAGCCAACCCCTACTGGGATCGCCTTCCATCTGGAAACCGATGCCCTCACTGCGGGAGAAGATGCAGATCAAGAATAGGGCTCCACAGTCACCTACAGACCCACCGCCAGGATACTACACTTGGAGGACCATCATCCTTGGACTACGAGGGATCACCTAAGTAAGTAAGTAAGTGTCGTTGCTGGGATTTATAGTTCACCTACAATCAAAGAACATTCTGAACTCCACCAACGATGGAATTGAACCAAACTTGGCACATAGAACTCCCATGGCCAACAGAAAATACTGGAAGGTTTTGTTGGCCACTGATCTTGATTATTGGAGTAGTAGTTCACCTACATCCAGAGAGCACTGTGGACTCAAACAATAAAGGATCTGAACCAAATTTGGCTTGAATACTCAATATGCCCAAATGCTAACACTGGTGGAGTTTGGGAAAAATACACCTTGACATTTGGGAGTTGTAGTTGCTGGGATTTATAGTTCACCTACAATCAAAGAGCATTCCGAACTCCACCAACAATGGAATTGAAACCAAACTTGGCACACAGAACTCCCATGACCAACGGAAAATACTGGAAGGATTTGGTGGCCACTGACCTTGATTATTGGAGTTGTAGTTCACCTACATCCAGAGAGCACTGTGGACTCAAACAATAAAGGATCTGAACCAATATGCCCAAATGCTAACACTAGTGGAGTTTGGGGAAAATACACCTTGACATTTGGGAGTTGTAGTTGCTGGGATTTATAGTTCACATACAATCAAAGACCCCTTGAACCCCACTAATGATAGAATTGGGCCAAACTTCCCACACAGAACCCCCATGACCATCAAAAAATACTGTGTTTTCTGATGGTTTCTGGTGACACCCTCTGACACTCCCTCACGACCCCTCCCCAAGGGTCCTGAAGCCCAGGTTGAGAAATGCTGTGCTCAGAGGCGGCCCTAGGTAATTTTCAACGGTAAGCAAACAGTATTTTGGCACACACACACCCCAACCAATCGCTGATATATATTTTCTGTTCATCATGGGAGTTCTGTGTGCCATATTTGGTTCAATTCCATCATTGGTGGAGTTCAGAATGCTCTTTGATTGTAGGTGAACTATACATCCCAGTAACTACAACTCGCATATGTCAAGGTCTATTTTCCCCCAAGAGCACCTCAAGATCGCCCCTGGGTACAATCAACTATACTGCAAATGCTTACTTTGCGTAATGGGTTGAGCCGTCCCTGGTTGTGCTAAACTATTACAGTGCTATGCTTCTACTTTAAGTGCCATGGTTCCATTCTATGAAATCTTGGGATTTTCAGTTTATGGAAGGATACCTCGAATTACCAACCAGAGACTTCTAGCAGCTCACCAAACCACAAGTCTCAGGATTCCACAGAAAGAAACCATAGCTGTTAACAGGAAACCGCAGAGCTATAATTATGTAGTGTGAAAAGGCTCCAGGTTTACAATAGGTGGGAAAGCTTTGACTCAGGAAATGCTTTAAAAAAGAAAAAAGAAGTCAGCAACAGTGCTCATTTCTGTGTTTACTTTTCCGTCGCACTCTCAGACTCTTGCCAAAGGAACAAGTGTCACCTTCTTTTTCACCCTCTTGCAAGTATTATCACACAAATCTATATAAAGTCAGGAGGTGCAAGGGCCAGGGGTGCCAGGTGCTGAGATAGCAATAGGGGATTGGGAAGGAGTGAGCAAGAAGAGGGAGAAGTGGAGGGAAAACGTCTGCTAGCCATAGGAATGGTTGCTGAAATTGCTGGGGAAAGGTGGGGGGTCAAGGTAAAGGGCTTCTATCTCTGTGTTCTGTACCCCATTTCCTTTTTTCCCTTGCAGAGCTGAAAACAACAAAGTCTCACTGATGCAAGGAGGAAGAATTAGGTCTTGTTTACCATGTTGGGGGGGGGGGTGTTTGTCATGTCAGGAGCGGCTTAAGAAACTGCAAGCTGCTTCTGGTGTGAGAGAATTGGCCGTCTGCAAGAATGTTGCCCAGGGGACGCCCGGATGTTTTGATGTTTTATCATCCTTTTGGGAGGCTTCTTTCATGTCCCCGCATGAGGAGCTGGAGCTGATAGGGGGAGCTCATCCGTGCTCTCCCCGGATTCAAACCTGCAACCTATCGATCTTCAGTCCTGCCAGCACAAGGGTTTAACCCACTGCGCCACCAGGGGCTCCACAGTATTGGATGAAAATGACATACAAAAGAATTAATAACAGTAGTACTTATCCGAATGTATCTCTCTCTACGTTTCACCTCGTAATTTAAGATCTACTCGGGAGGCCCTGCTCTCGGTCTCATCAGCATCTCAAACGCGTCTGGTGGGGACGAGGGACAGGGCCTTCTCGGTGGTGACCCCCCGCTTGTGGAATTCGCTCCCCAGTGAGATTAGATCGGCGTCCTCCCTCCTTACTTTTAGGAAAAAACTAAAGACGTGGTTTTGGAGCCAGGCCTTTGGCTAGTGGGCACAGCAGCACTTTAGGCACTGAACTCGGACAATAGGATTGTTTGAAAATTGGAAATGGCTTTATGACCTGTGATTCTGTGATCTGTTCTATGTGGTTATGTAATTTTAATTAATATCACTATTTAATTGTTATGTAATGGATTTTATATTGCTGTATTATATTGTTGTTTTGATACTGTTGGCATTGAATTGTTGCTGGTGTTAGCCGGCCTGAGTCCCCCCTCGGGGGTGAGAAGGGCGGGGTAGAAATGGAATAAATAAATAAATAAATAAATGTATAATGACATTGAATGTTTACTGTATATGTGTACTGTAATTTGCCCTGAGTCCCCTCGGGGAGATAGGGCGGAATATAAATAAAGTATAGTATTATTTTAAAAATTAAAAATAAATAAATAAATATCAGCCTAAATACACTAAAGGCACGGATTTCGCCTGATTTTGAAAACTAAGCAGGGTCATCACCGCTTCGTTCTTGGATGGGAAACTGCCGATGAATCCCATACACTTGCAGCCATATTTCAGAAAAAGGAACTGGCAAAACTATCTCAATTTTATGGGTGATTTAATTGTATTTTAACTAAGAAAACCCTATGAAATGCATGTGGCTTCTCTCATGTCCCCGCATGAGGAGCTGGAGCTGACAGAGGGGAGCTCATTCGCACTCTCCCCAGATTTGAATCTGCGACCTGTCGGTCTTCGGTGCTGCCAGCACAAAGGTTTAACCCACTGCGCCACTGGGGGCTCCACAGTATTGGATAATAATGACATACAAATGAATTAGTAGTAATAATATCAGCCTAAATAGGCACGGATTTTGCCTGATATTGAAAACTAAGCAGGGTCATCACTGGTTCGTTCTTGGATGGGAAACTGCCGATGAACCCCATACACTTGCAGCCGTATTTCAGAAAAAGGAACTGGCAAAACTATCTCAATTATATGGGTAATTTAATTGTATTTTAACTAAGAAAACCCTACGAAATGCATGTGGCTTCTCTCATGTTCCCGCATGAGGAGCTGGAGCTGACAGAGGGGAGCTCATCCGTGCGCTCTCTGGATTTGAATCTGCGACCTGTCAGTCTTCAGTCCTGCCCAGGCCCGTAGCCAGGATTTCAATTCGGGGGGGGGGGGGGGGGTTTTTTCAGGGTTTTTTTTGGGGGGGGGGCTGAGTTTCGGGGGGGCTGAGTCTGAGTGAAAGAGGGTCTAGCCTAGCAAACCTTTTGTATCATTACCCCAATACCCCCATGCATATGGGATATATTGAGTATGGTGATCAGATCATGATATGAATAAACATAACAGTTTAAATAATGCACCAGTAAGGCCTTTTCGCAAACCACCATGAGAATTTCGGGGGGGGGGGGGCTGAAGCCCCTCAAGCCCCCCCCCCCCGGCTACATGCCTGGTCCTGCCGGTACCTACTGCACCACTGGGGGGGGGGAGGGGGTTGAAGTCAAGCTAAAGCCATTGGGTTGCTTGAGGCAACCATGGTGCTCCCCACACAAAAAACACACAAATACACTTTGTCAAAATCAAAGTATATTGTACTCCCAAAGCCAGATATGCTGTCCTGGCACATGAGGGGCAAAGCATCCCCAGAAACACTTCTGCCCCATATTGGATTTTTTTTTGTCATGTCAGGAGCGACTTGAGAAACTGCAAGTCACTTCTGGTGTGAGAGAATTGGCTCTCTGCAAGGATATTGCCCAGGGGACGCCCAGATTATTTTTGATTTTTTTTTTTGGTCGTGTCAGGAGCGACTTGAGAAACTGCAAGTCGCTTCTGGTGTGGGAGAATTGGCCGTCTGCAAGGACGTTGCCCAGGGGACGTTGCCCAAGGGATACTTGTGGGAGGCTTCTCTCATGTCCCCGCATGAGGAGCTGGAGCTGATAGAGGGAGCTCATCCACCTCTCCCCGGATTTGAACCTGCGACCTATCTGTCTTCAGTCCTGCCGGCATATGGGTTTAACCCACTGCACCACCGTGGGTTCCCCCATGGAAATAAAATAATAGCAATAACTGAATATGTTTACGGTTTTGCTTTTGTTTTGTTTTTCGTCTACTTCCCATGCCTGAGATTACTATCTCACTCCACCACATAGCAATCTGCCTTGAATGAGAATTGAAAGCAGCCTTCCTCAATCCTTTTTTTCTTAGGGGGAATCCACAAAATCCCTGCATAAAAATTATTATATCTACAACTCAACAACCCCCCCCCCCCCACCAATTCCAACAGGGTTTTGAGGGACCCTTATTGGGAAAACATGGGTGTACAACCATCTCATCAAATTCCCCCATTCCAATGTAACACCCAGTTATGGGTGAATGTGAGTGCAGATGGGGTAAGTACAAAGCCGAGAGAAAAATATGGCACCTCCCACTCTCTTCTCTGCTCAGGGGACAACGGCTTCGGATTCCTTCTCCGCACCCCCAAACCCACCCCCTCTAACTCTTCTCCCTTCTAGTCAGCTCAGTGCTGGCAGATTTAATAGGATTAAGGATCCTGCAGAGTCTAGATAAGGAGAGGGCACAGTAGGAGGGAGGACAGAGGGGATATCAGTTGCTGACTGCCTCCTCCCTAGATGACCCCCCTTCCCAAACATCCTGACTTTGCAGGGTGAGTGGTGGGTGGTGGATTCTTTTCACCGTCAATCTACTTTGGGTAGGAGGAAAGTAAAGGCGGGGGTTCTCTTCTCACCTGTTGTGCAGCACACACCAGCCACAGTGGGGATCTCTCGAACCAAGGCAATCGGCACAAGTCAAATACTGCTCACAGTTCTCCACCGGAAGACGCACCACCTGAAGGAAGGGCTCAATTGTTAATATACCAGAAGGCCACAATCTCCCTCTTCTCCCCTAACCCTCTGGCTTGCTCCACATCCATTCCCTTAGAAAGGTGACTATCATCTAATCAACCTTTTTTTCTCATGTCAGGAGCGACTTGAGAAACTGCAAGTCGCTTCTGGTATGAAAGAATTGGCCATCTGCAAGGACGTTGCCCAGGGGATGCCAGATGTTTATTTTATTTTATTTATTTGCAGCATTTCTATTCCGCTTTTCTCACTCCGCAGTGTACACATATATGGCAAACATTCAATGCTAATTTTTGACTTACACAGACATACACAGAGGTATTTAACTTTTTCTGGCCACCAGGGGAGCTGTCGCTTTCATCATCCATCTGCGACACTGGTGAAGTACTTCCGCAATCCCCGCTTTGCTGGAGTCTTTTTTTATGGCCTCATAAATTAGTTAATTTAGTCTCCCCACACTTTAAGGTAGTACCTAATTTTCCTACTTGACAGATGCAACTGTCTTTCGGGTTGCAAAGGTCGACAACAGGATACACAATTGGTTGGAAACCCACTCCAACCCGGGCTGGCTTCGAACTCATGACCTTTTGGTCTGAGTGATCTTAATGCAGCTAACAGCCAGCTGTGCCACAATCCCATGTTTTGATGTTTTACCATCATGTCCTTGCATGGGGAGCTGGAACTGACAGAGGGAGCTCAACCCACTCTCCCTGGATTCGAACCTCTGACCTGTCGGTCTTCAGAGTTCAACCCACTGCAGCTCCTCCAGGCATCTATGCCATTAACAGAATGCAGAGCAGCACAAAATACAGTAGGTGGAGGTTCATAGCATAGGTGAAAGTACCTGTTAAATTTCTACCTGTTGTTCATTGAACAAATAACTACCATATTTTCTGGCGTATAAGACTACTTTGTAAACCAAGAAAATCTTTTCAAAAGTCAGGGGTCGTCCTATACGTGGGAGTCATCTTCTACGTGGGCGGAGTCTTATATGCGATGTCGTCTTATACGTGGGAGTCGTCTTATATGCTGGGAGTCTTCTTATAAAGTGGGTGCTGAAACTTCCAGTCTGGATTAGAGAATCAGTTGTTGCCACAAATTGTGGGGGGAGCTCAAAAATGGCAGTGGCCACATCCCTGCTGTATGCAGCGACTGTATGAGAACATTAAGGGCGATGCTGTACAAGTACGGTAGAAAAAAATTCAATTCATCAGGATTCGTGGACTTAATGTGGTCTCGATGGTGAGGTGAAGGGGCGCCTCACCGGGAAGGTGTAAGTGAAGGGCGGAGTAAGCTGCAGGCGTCCGGGGCGCCCGGGGTATGGAAAAAAGAGATAGAGTGGCTCTGGGCCCAGAAAATCACACCTCTTTTACCTGTCTGGCCCGCCCTTGTATCCTATTACTGGACCTCCTCCTCTGTCTCTCAGATCTCGCTCCTGAAGACTGCAGTGAAGTGGTGAAGGTGCGCATGTGCGAGATCTGAGAGGCAGAGAAGGAGGTCCAGTAATAGGAAAATTACCATATTGAAATCAAATCTGATGCTTTTAAAATTTTTATTTGGTTTGTGTTGGAAGAGGGGTAGTCTTATATGGCGAGTATATCCCAAACTCTATATTATAACTGGAAAAGTCGGGGTCGTCTTATACGCCCAGTCGTCTTGTACGGGCTATACTATGTAATAAAATCAGAAAAAATTCTGTTGGTTGATATATAGGAGAGTTTGGAGCTATCCCAAACTCTGTACAGTACTAGGAAAATTACCATATTGAAATCAAATCTGATGCTTTTAAATTTTTTATTTGGTGTGTGTTGGAAGAGGGGTAGTCTTATACGGCGAGTATATCCCAAACTCTATATTTTAACTGGAAAAGTTGGGGGTCGTCTTATATGCCGGAAAATACGGTACATTCACAAAATCTCTACACAGAATACTTTCTTCAAAAGGAAAAGGAAAGTAGCAGTCTTAAGTTGCACCCATCTCTCAGCACCATTAAAAATCCCATAGTCATTAAACTCCCCATCCCGGCAGGACAATAAACATGCAAACCTCGGCATTTAATTGCATTTCATATATAATCTCACTGCTCCATTATAAAAGAAACAACTGTCACCATAAAAGAGGTGACCATCCTCCTGGACATCTTGGCATCCTCAAAATACTTTCATTAGAATACTTTCTCTATCCCCCAAATGCCTTTTTTCACATATCTCTTGCCACCTAGTCATCCTCAACACTGCACAGTAGGGATTTTGCCTCTTAGCTAATGCGGACAAAGGGACACCCCATCTGTTTGGCCCATTTCTAGTACGAATACAGAATGCATGCCATCCAGATACCTAAAGACATTTAAATTGCCCTCCAGTTGGAGAAGCCAGATTAAAGAAATGGCATCAAATTAAGTTCTGCAACTCAATCATAGAATCATAGAATCAAAGAGTTGGAAGAGACCTCATGGGCCATCCAGTCCAACCCCATGCCAAGAAGCAGGAATATTGCATTCAAATCACCCCTGACAGGTGGCCATCCAGCCTCTGTTTAAAAGCTTCCAAAGAAGGAGCCTCCACCACCGGGGCAGAGAGTTCCACTGCTGAATGGCTCTCACAGTCAGGAAGTTCTTCCTCATGTTCAGATGGAATCTCCTCTCTTGTAGTTTGAAGCCACTGTTCCGCGTCCTAGTCTCCAAGGAAGCAGAAAACAAGCTTGCTCCCTCCTCCCTGTGGCTTCCTCTCACATATTTATACATGGCTATCATATCCCCTCTCAGCCTTCTCTTCTTCAGGCTAAACATGCCCAGCTCCTTAAGCCGCTCCTCATAGGGCTTGTTCTCCAGACCTTTTATCATTTTAGTTGCTCTCCTCTGGACACATTCCAGCTTGTCAATATCTCTCTTGAACTGTGGTGCCCAGAATTGGACTCAATATTCCAGATGTGGTCTAACCAAAACAGAATAGCTTCACTCCTAGGAATAGTGGTGGGATATTCTCAAATCTTGTTCCAACCTGGAAAGCATATCTTCTACATCTGGCAAAGACTCCTTCCTTGCTCTTAGAGTCCGGCCTGGTTTACCTGTCCAAACGGATTCTCCCCTACGAACCATCAAGGTTGTTAAGATCTTCTGGAGGGGCCCTGCTCTTGGTCCCACCACCTTCACAATCGCATCTGGTGGGGACAAGAGACAGGGCCTTCTCGGTGATGGCCCCTCGGCTGTGGAACTCTCTCCCGATAGAGATCAGATCTGCCCCCTCCCTCCTGACTTTCAGAAAGATGGCAAAATCTTGGCTCTGGAACTTAGCATTCTCAGATTGATGATCGAATCAGTAACTGTTGACCACAAGGTGGATGGTAGTGAATTTGTGATTTACCTTGACGAATTGGCTTTATGTAATTCTTGATCTGTATTTTAATGTATTTTAATGTATTAATGTACTATGATGTTATTATGCTTTAGTTTATTTCTATATTGATTCTCTGTTGTTAGCCGGAGGTCGAGAAGACCGAGTTATAAAAGCTCTAAATAAATCTATATATATAAAAATGGAAAGGGTGTTCAACGGGACAGCAAAACGCGAAAAAATCCCGACGAAAACTCACCAAATTTGCCGTGCACATACCTCAACGCACAAGGTATGCACAACACTCATCAAAATTCCAAACAACATTTCAACAAACTCACAATTACAAAAACCAACTGAGCATGCGCAGTGCCCAGGGGAGGAAGTACACATGCAATGCACTCTGGGAACTGTAGTTCTAGAACGCAGCCTGCTCGCTGGGGGCCAGGATGCTGTGCGAACGGAGAAAGGAAGGAAGGAAAGGAAGGAAGGAAGGGAGGGAGGGAAGTTGAGAAGGTATATGAAAGAAGAAAGGTAGGAAAGAAAGAATACAGAGAGAGAAGGAGGATGGGAAAGAAGGGAGAAAGGAAGGAAGGAGGAAAGGAAAGAAAGATAGAAAAAAAGAAAGGGAAGGGGAAGGGAAGGTGTCAAAAGGAAGGAAGGAAGGAAGGAAGGAAGGAAGGAAGGAAGGAAGGAAGGAAGGAAGGAAGGGGAATTTGGGAAGGGGAAGAGAGGAAAAAAGCGAAGGAAGAAGAGAAAGGGAGGGAAGAAAAGAAAGAAAGAAAAGGAAGACTGGAAGTCAAGAGCAAAGGAAGGAAGGAAAGAGATAGAGAGGGAAGAAAGGAGAGAAAGAGGAAGGAAAATAAAAAGGGAGGAGGAAGGAAAGAGGAAGAGAAGGAAGGAGGAGAGAAGGAAAAAAAAAGGGAAGGGAGGAAAGACGGAGCAAAGGAAGAAGAGAAAGAAGGAGAGAAAGAGGGAGGGAAGGAAAGAAATAAAGAGAAGGAAGGATGGGAGCAAAAAGCTAAGGAAGGAAGTAAACAGGTAGAGAAGGAAGAAAGGAAAGAAGAAAAGGAAATGAAGGAAGGAGTGAAAGAAGAAGAGAAAGAGGGAGAGAAGCTTGGCCACAGCAATGCGTGGCGGGTAAAGCTAGTAATAAATAAATAGTGTGATGATGGCCTTAACTTCCTCAGAAATGATTACGAGGGAAACTCTTCATAAACTCTAACGGCACCTAATCCTTCAGGCCTGACTTAAATTAAAGAATAGTGCCAGATAAATGAGAATGATCTGTCATTTAATTTTGTCACTGAAAAATCAGTCTTCCCTACCCTGGAGCCCTTTGAATGGATTGAACGGCATTTCCCACAATCAGTACAACTGTTGATTCAGGGTATGGAAGGTTGAATTAAAGAGTCTGGAACAGTGCTACTCAACCTTCCTAATGCCGCGACCCCTTAATACAGTTCTTCATGTTGTGGTGACCCCCAACCATAATATTATTTTCATTGTTACTTCATAACTGTGATTTTGCTCCAGTTATGACTCGTAATGTAAATATCTGATATGCAGGATGTATTTGTATTCACTGGACCAAATTTGGCACAAATACCCCATATGCCCAAATTTGAATACTGGTAGGTTTGGGGAGGATTGATTTTGTCATTTGGGAGCTGTAGTTACTGGGATTTATAGTTAACCTACAGTCAAAGAGCCTTCTGAACTCCACCAACAATGGAATTGAACCAAACTTGGAACACACAACTCCCATGACCACCAGAAAATATATGCAGGGTCTGATGGGCATTGACCTTAAGTTTTGGAGTTGTAGTTTAACTACATCCAGAGAGCACTGTGGGCTCAAACAATGATGGATCTGGGCCAAACTTGGCACGAATACTCAGTATGCCCAAATGTGAACACTGGTGGAGTTTGGGAAAAATAGACTTGACATTTGGGAATTGTAGTTGCTGGGAATTATAGTTCACCTCCAATTAAAGAGCATTCCAAACCCCACCAACCATAGAATTGGGCCAAACTTCCCACACAGAACTCCCATGACCAGTAGAAAATACTGTGTTTTCTGATGATTCTTGGCGACCCCTCTGACACCCCCTTGTGACCCCCACAGGGGTCCTGATCCTCAGGTAGAGAAACACTGGTCTGGAATCCATCCATCCATCCATCCATCCATCCATCCATCCATCCATCTATCTATAGGTCTCTTCACCACAACACATTAGAAACCACTCTGCAAACCTCTAAATACCCTATCTCACCTTATCATATCCCATGACTGACCTGTTTCTGACTGAGCAGGTAGAGGTATCGCTGGTCAGGACTCAAGACCATGTCACGCAGCAGGGGCTCTCCAGGCATCACCGGCACAGACTCATAGAGATGGGCCTCATTGGGATTGTCCACACGAACCTGCAAAGTGTAATTGTGTAATAAGATTGACTGTTACTCCCAACAAGGATTGCTTTACATTTCTTAAATTTCTACCAAACGAAATTCAAGTTGGTTAATGACATTGGTTGGAATCCCGCCATATGCGCCATATGCGTGTGTATGTCTCTTTTTGGTCAGAGAACAAGGTGGTATTTTATAGCCCTTTACACAAGTTACAAAACCTCTATTTCTCAACTGTAACGTCATTTCTTTATTTCTTGATGGTAGGCAATTCAAGTGATTGTGTTCAAAGGGAAGGGATAGGAGGGCTCACTCCACCTGTAAGTTATTATCTTCCTCCTTCAAGAAAACACAAGCCCGTTTGTTCTAGAGGCATTCTCTCCTGACATTTCGCCTGCATCTATGCCAAGCATCCTCAGAGGTAGTGAGGTCTGTTGGAACTAGAAAAATGGGTTTATATATCTGTGGAATGACCAGGGTGGGACAAAGGACTCTTGTCTGTTGGAGCTAGGTGTGAATGTTTCAACTGACCACCTTGATTAGCATTTGATGGCTTGGCAGTTGTTTGGTGTGGCTTGTTAGTGCCTGGGGCAATCTTTTGTTGAGAGGTGATTATATGTCCCTAATTGTTTCCTCTCTGTTGTTTTACTGTTGTTATTTGAGAGTTTTTTAAATACTGGTAGCCAAATTTTGTTCATTTTCATGGTTTCCTCCTTTCTGTTGAAATTGTCCACATGCTTGTGGATTTCAATGGCTTCTCTGTGTAGTCTGACATGATGGTTGTTAGAGTGGTCCACCATTTCTGTGTTCTCAAATAATATGCTGTGTCCAGGTTGGTTCATCAGGTGCTCTGTTATGTCTGGTTTCTCTGGTTGTCTACTTCAACCAGAGAAGTCAGCCATAGCAGAGCACCTGATGAACCTAGCTCCAACAGACAAGAGTTCTTTGTCCCACCCTGGTCATTCCACAGATATATAAACCTGTCAGGTTTTACAATGTATTGTAATGTAATATAGCTGAGTCATGCACTGCTAATAGGCTTCTATTGGAAATGCTGAGTCATGCATTAACTGTATATAGAACTTCATTTGGGGAATGTGATTGTGAATGATGTAATCCTGGGTCTGAGTTAAGTTAATGAGTTGGGAACCAATCAGAGATTGCTACGTGTAATTGTATAGAATTGTATATAAGGAAGTCATGTAGAGTGTATACTCTCTCCTTGTGCTGTGATGCTGTTCGTCGAAGGCTCTATGTAATTGATTAAAAGAACCTGTCTGCTAAGACAAGATTTAACCATGTGCTGTGATAAGTTTGTAGTGTCATCTAGACTGGGGGGAAAACAATAGTAAAACTGACAATGGCCAAGCATGTGCTCAAGTGTCTGTAAAAGGTTCCAGAGTGACTGCAGGCTGTGGGAGCAGTTGACTGAAAATACTGTGCAGGAAGAACTACTGGAAAGCGCTGAAGTTGTACAACTGATCTGCTGCTGAATTGTGAAATTAATCTCAACAAAACCCATTTTCCTAGTTCCAACAGACCTCACAACTTCTGAGGATGCTTGCCATAGATGCAGACGAAACATCAGGAGAGAATGCCTCTAGAACATGGCCACATAGCCCGAAAAAACCTACAACAACCCAGTGATTTCAGCCATGAAAGCCTTCGACAATACACAAGCCCGTTTCTTCATGTCTGAGTTGCTTCCTTGCTCTCGGTCTTCCCATTTGTCAGCAGAAGTGGTCCTTCCCAGGACTTGGCAGATATGTTGGAGGCAATAGTTAGACAGGGTGTCAAGTTAGGATGACGTTTGTGCTCCACTTGGCTGATGCAGGATTTTTCCCAATCATTTCAAAGTATTACACTATGTAACAAAAATTGAAAAATGTTCTGCTCCTAGTTTGAAAGTGTTATTTCCTGTTTAACTGTGCAGTACTTGCTTTGAAACCAGCTTTTATACCCCAAAAACGTCATTTCTGTGGCTGCCACAAACTGTGTTGACTTGGCTGGGACTCTACGAGATATTCATTGAAAAAATATAGCAAAATGTGCTGCAGGAAGTCCCACAAAAAAAAAAAAAGACATACCTTTTCCTTGTTTTTATGATAGAACCAATTAGAACATTACAATTATAACCCAGGAAGAAAAATCATGTTACAGAGAGTTACGTAATCAATGTAAATTACCAATATGCAACCTTTCCAGCTCCAAAGTCCCTGTCTGGTACTAAGGAAATGAATATGCACAGTTACCCTAGTGAACCCCCTTTCCTACAACTTGGGCAAAGCAATATTTTGCTAAGATTTGAGTTTACTCGGTCCTGCTTACAATGGGGCTCTGGGAGCAATGCCATCACTGAGGTGTTGACTAGCAATTCCTAATGAGTTTCCAGGAAATACAAGTAACTGCAGCCAAAGGGAATTAATATGGGGCAATGGTGTTCTCGCTACCACAGAAATCAGGAAAAGTGCCGGTTGTTCTAATAGCTTTGGGGACACACGAGGAAAAGTCATAGAGGGAAGGCCACAGATGTTGGTACAAGGGTTGAATGAAAAGTAATGCTTCCACCTTTGTAACTCCTTAACAAATGGCGGTACTGATATGTGGCAGGTACTGGCTTGTTCAGTAGACTCTCCTCTATAGTTCCATTTTGGTGGGAAGCCTTAGCATTCAACGGTTGTGTTATTAAAGTGCGAAGTATGGAACCCTGAGCAGATTGTTGGTCCATGCGACTTAAGCAACGTGCAGTCATTGAATTCTTGACAGCAGAAGGTGTCACCCCAAAGGAGATTAATCAGAGAATGCAAGCTATTTATGGTGATTGTGTTGATGTGAGTACTGTGCGTCGTTGGGAAAATGAGTTTAAAGATGTTGAGGTGGGAACATCTGACTTGCATGACAAACAAAGAGTTGGACGTCCTGTGACAGCAACCACCGGGTTTCACAAGCAAAAGGTTGACAGATTGATTCAGGATGATCGTTGTATCACTCAGAGAGAAATTTCAAGCAATTTCAAGCAAATTTCAAGCAAATTTCAAGAAATTTCAAGAAATTTCAAGAAATTTCAAGCAAATTTCAAGAAATTTCAAGCATAATTGGCATTTTAAGCATAATTGGCATTTCAAGCATAATTGGCATTTCAATGTGTGGGTCACATTATTGCTTTGCTTGGCTATCGTAAGATCTGTACATGATGGGTTCCCAGGATGCTGATGCCTGAAATGAAAGCGCACAGACTTCAAACTTCAGAGACTGGATCTCACCACCGTACGACATCCTCCATACAGTGGGTTGTTGTAGGTTTTTTCGGGCTATATGGCCATGGTCTAGAGGTCTCTAGACCATGGCCATATAGCCTGAAAAAATCTACAACAACCCAGTCATTCCGGCCATGAAAGCCTTCGACAATACATCCTCCATACAGTCCAGATTTAGCACCGTCTGACTGCCATCTGTTCCTGATAATGAAAGAAGATCTGCAGGGAAATCATTACGCTTCTGATTAAGACGTTGAGCTAACTGTGAGATGCTGGCTGCGGAAACAGTGTCGACTTCTGTGATGGCTTCAGAAATCCTGTTCATCATTGGCAGAAATTTATCCAATTGTCTGGTGATTATGTGGAAAAGTGAATAATGGTAGTTAAAGAGCACATTCTAAGGATCTGCATTTGATTTATTAAAATATTCTATGAAGATGACACACAACGCTACTACTCTTTTCCACCTAACTCCAAGGAAGCCCCTCGAGTGCTAGACGAGTGCCTGACCGCTGTGGCTGGCTGGATGAGGACGAACAAGCTGAAGAGTAATCCCGACAAGACAGAGGTCCTCCTGGTCGATCGCAAACCGGATCGGGGTATAGGGTGGCAACCTGTGCTGGACAGGGTTGCACTCCCCCTGAAGTCACAGGTCCGCAGTTTGGGAGTCCTCCTGGATTCATCACTTACGTTTGAGGCTCAGACGTCGGCGGTGGCCGGGAGGGCCTTTGCACAATTAAGACTCGTGCGCCAACTGCGAACGTACCTCGTGAAGGCCGATCTGGCCAAGGTGGTCCATGCCTTAGCCACTTCTAGACTGGATTACTGTAATGCACTCTATGTGGGGCCACCCTTGAAAATGGCTCGGAAATTCCAGATGGTCCAACGGGCGGTGGCCAGGTTGTTAACTGGAGCTCCACTGGTTGCCATTCATTTTCCGAACCCAATTCAAGGTGCAAGTTCTTACCTACAAAGCCCTGAACGGTTTGGGACCCGCCTACCTGCATGACCACATCTCTGTATACGAACCCACACGATCTCTCCATTCATCTGGAGAGGCCCTGCTCGCGATCCCACCTGCATCGCAAGCGCGATTGGCGTGGGCGAGAGAGAGGGCCTTTTCGGTGGTGGTCCCCTGACTCTGGAACTCACTTCCTAAGGACATCAGGCAGGCCCCAACTCTGACAGTCTTTTGGAGGAGCTTGAAGACGTGGCTGTTCCAGTGTGCCTTCCCAGAATAATGATCCCATAGCACTTTGCCCTCCACAGAACTTTACATTTTTAGGTCTGCTTGTATGTTTTCCACAAACGCCCCTTCACTTTTTCGCCCATGTTCCAGCATTACTTCCGATTTAAATTTTACATTTGGCCTCCCCATAGTTTTTAATCGTGTGGTCTTATTGTTAATGTTGCATTATTGTATTGTCCATGTTTTATTTTAATTGCTTGTATTGTTGTTATTACTGTTTGTATTGTTGTATTTGGGCTTGGCCTCATGTAAGCCGCACCAAGTCCCTTGGGGAGATGGGTTTCTTTGTTTTTTGTCGTGTCAGGAGCAAGTCGCTTCTGGTGTGAGAGAATTGGCCGTTTGCAAGTACGTTGCCCAGGAGACGCCTGGATGATTTGATGTTTTTATCATCCTTGTGGGAGGCTTCTCTCATGTCCCCGCATGAAGAGCTGGAGCTGATAGAGGGAGCTCATCCACCTCTTCCCGGATTCGAACCTGCAACCTGTCAGTCTTCAGTCCTGCTGTCACAGGGG